ATTGATCAGACAGGTATCTGATGTTAACTAATATAAATTGATCAGACAGGTATCTGATGTTAACTAATATAAAGTGATCAGACAGGTATCGGATGTTAACTAATATAAAGTGATCAGACAGGTATCTGATGTTAACTAAACACCTGAGACCAGGACAGGTATCTGATGTTAACTAATATAAAGTGATCAGACAGGTATCTGATGTTAACTAATATAAAGTGATCAGACAGGTATCTGATGTTAACTAATATAAAGTGATCAGACAGGTATCTGATGTTAACTAATATAAAGTGATCAGACAGGTATCTGATGTTAACTAAACACCTGAGATCAGGACAGATATCTGATGTTAACTAATATAAAGTGATCAGACAGGTATCTGATGTTAACTAAACACCTGAGACCAGGACAGGTATCTGATGTTAACTAATATAAAGTGATCAGACAGGTATCTGATGTTAACTAATATAAAGTGATCAGACAGGTATCAGATGTTAACTAAACACCTGAGATCAGGACAGGTATCTGATGTTAACTAATAAAAATTGATCAGACAGGTATCTGATGTTAACTAATATAAAGTGATCGGACAGGTATCTGATGTTAACTAAACACCTGAGATCAGGACAGGTATCTGATGTTAACTAATATAAAGTGATCAGACAGGTATCTGATGTTAACTAAACACCTGAGACCAGGACAGGTATCTGATGTTAACTAATATAAAGTGATCAGACAGGTATCTGATGTTAACTAATATAAATTGATCAGACAGGTATCTGATGTTAACTAATATAAAGTGATCAGACAGGTATCTGATGTTAACTAATATAAAGTGATCAGACAGGTATCTGATGTTAACTAAACACCTGAGATCAGGACAGGTATCTGATGTTAACTAATATAAATTGATCAGACAGGTATCTGATGTTAACTAATAAAGTGATCAGACAGGTATCTGATGTTAACTAAACACCTGAGATCAGGACAGGTATCTGATGGTAACTAATATAAAGTGATCAGACAGGTATCTGATGTTAACTAATATAAATTGATCAGACAGGTATCTGATGTTAACTAATATAAATTGATCAGACAGGTATCTGATGTTAACTAATATAAAGTGATCAGACAGGTATCGGATGTTAACTAATATAAAGTGATCAGACAGGTATCTGATGTTAACTAAACACCTGAGACCAGGACAGGTATCTGATGTTAACTAATATAAAGTGATCAGACAGGTATCTGATGTTAACTAATATAAAGTGATCAGACAGGTATCTGATGTTAACTAATATAAAGTGATCAGACAGGTATCTGATTTTAACTAATATAAAGTGATCAGACAGGTATCTGATGTTAACTAATATAAAGTGATCAGACAGGTATCTGATGTTAACTAATATAAAGTGATCAGACAGGTATTTGATGTTAACTAATATAAAGTGATCAGGCAGGTATCTGATGTTAACTAAACACCTGAGACCAGGACAGGTATCTGATGTTAACTAATATAAAGTGATCAGACAGGTATCTGATGTTAACTAAACACCTGAGATCAGGACAGGTATCTGATGGTAACTAATATAAAGTGATCAGACAGGTATCTGATGTTAACTAATATAAATTGATCAGACAGGTATCTGATGTTAACTAATATAAATTGATCAGACAGGTATCTGATGTTAACTAATATAAAGTGATCAGACAGGTATCTGATGTTAACTAATATAAAGTGATCAGACAGGTATCTGATGTTAACTAAACACCTGAGACCAGGACAGGTATCTGATGTTAACTAATATAAAGTGATCAGACAGGTATCTGATGTTAACTAATATAAAGTGATCAGACAGGTATCTGATGTTAACTAATATAAAGTGATCAGACAGGTATCTGATTTTAACTAATATAAAGTGATCAGACAGGTATCTGATGTTAACTAATATAAAGTGATCAGACAGGTATCTGATGTTAACTAATATAAAGTGATCAGACAGGTATTTGATGTTAACTAATATAAAGTGATCAGGCAGGTATCTGATGTTAACTAAACACCTGAGATCAGGACAGGTATCTGATGGTAACTAATATAAAGTGATCAGACAGGTATCTGATGTTAACTAATATAAATTGATCAGACAGGTATCTGATGTTAACTAATATAAAGTGATCAGACAGGTATCTGATGTTAACTAAACACCTGAGATCAGGACAGGTATCTGATGGTAACTAATATAAAGTGATCAGACAGGTATCTGATGTTAACTTATATAAATTGATCAGACAGGTATCTGATGTTAACTAATATAAAGTGATCAGACAGGTATCTGATGTTAACTAATATAAAGTGATCAGGCAGGTATCTGATGTTAACTAAACACCTGAGATCAGGACAGGTATCTGATGGTAACTAATATAAAGTGATCAGACAGGTATCTGATGTTAACTTATATAAATTGATCAGACAGGTATCTGATGTTAACTAATATAAAGTGATCAGACAGGTATCTGATGTTAACTAATATAAAGTGATCAGACAGGTATCTGATGTTAACTAATATAAAGTGATCAGACAGGTATCTGATTTTAACTAATATAAAGTGATCAGACAGGTATCTGATGTTAACTAATATAAAGTGATCAGACAGGTATCTGATGTTAACTAATATAAAGTGATCAGACAGGTATTTGATGTTAACTAATATAAAGTGATCAGGCAGGTATCTGATGTTAACTAAACACCTGAGATCAGGACAGGTATCTGATGGTAACTAATATAAAGTGATCAGACAGGTATCTGATGTTAACTAATATAAATTGATCAGACAGGTATCTGATGTTAACTAATATAAAGTGATCAGACAGGTATCTGATGTTAACTAAACACCTGAGATCAGGACAGGTATCTGATGGTAACTAATATAAAGTGATCAGACAGGTATCTGATGTTAACTTATATAAATTGATCAGACAGGTATCTGATGTTAACTAATATAAAGTGATCAGACAGGTATCTGATGTTAACTAATATAAAGTGATCAGGCAGGTATCTGATGTTAACTAAACACCTGAGATCAGGACAGGTATCTGATGGTAACTAATATAAAGTGATCAGACAGGTATCTGATGTTAACTTATATAAATTGATCAGACAGGTATCTGATGTTAACTAATATAAAGTGATCAGACAGGTATCTGATGTTAACTAAACACCTGAGATCAGGACAGGTATCTGATGTTAACTATAAAGTGATCAGACATGAAACACCTGAGATCAGGACAGCTATTTTGAAGTACTGCATATAAAAGGCATTGGACACGAAACCCCTGTAGTTGCATACAGGTATCTGAAACAAACGGCTGTTTTCACAATCTGCGCATGATCCGTGACCTATGCAACTTCTTAGACAGGCCACGCCCACCCGATGACGCAGTAGCGGTTACGCTGTACCAAAGAGCATAGAATGACCAAGAAGCAACACTGTAGTGTAATTTGTTAAACAGCCACTAGATGGTGCGGCAGCCATTTTGGAATGAAAACTCCAAAAGAAAAAAAATAAGTCTGGAATTCTAAAATTCTGGAATTTTATAACAGGGTGTGGGAAGAAGGGAATTTGCCTCTAGAATGGAAGGAGTCATTAATTATACCCATAAAAAATCAGGTAAAGACCCTAGTAATCCTTTAAGCTATAGACCAATAGCACTAACATCGCACATGTGTAAATTAATGGAAAAAATGATTACTGCCCTGCTGAAAAAACCAGCATAGACCAGCATTGCTGGTCACTAGCAAGACCAGCATATGTTGTGTTTTGGTGCTGGTATGCTGGTGACCAGCATGGGATGCTGGTGCTGGTATGCTGATAACCAGCATGGGATGCTGGTGTTGTGATGCTGGTGTTATGCTGTGGTGACCAGCATGGGATGCTGGTGCTATGCTGGTGACCAGCATGGGATGCTGGTGTTATGCTGTGGTGACCATGGGATGCTGGTGCTGTGATGCTGGTATTATGCTGGTGACCAGCATGGGATGCTGGTGCTGTGATGCTGGTGACCAGCATAGGATGCTGCTGCTATGCTGGTGGCCAGCATACAAGCACCAGCATCCCATGCTGGTCACCAGCACCAAAACACAACATATGCTGGTCTTGCTGGGATTTGGGTGCTATGCTGGTGACCAGCATGAAATGCTGGTGCTGGGATGCTGGTCACCAGTATGAGATGCTGCTGGGATGCTGGCGCTGGTATGCTAGTGACCAGCAATCCCATGCTGGTCACCAGCATCCCATGCTGGTCACCAGCACCAAAACACAACATATGCTGGTCTTGCTGGGATTTGGGTGCTATGCTGGTGACCAGCATGGAATGCTGGTGCTGGGATGCTGGTCACCCGCATGAGATGCAGCTGGGATGCTGGCGCTGATAGTGACCAGCAATCCCATGCTGGTCACTGATAGCAAATTACATCTGGCCCAGATATGGCCCACATCCCCCACTTTCTTCTGGCCCACATACAGCGCGGAATGACGGCGATGTCTCAACCTTGTGGCTGTCATAAGGATCCAAAAGTCAGCCACAACTGAACCAGATCTGGGCCATATCTCAGAAAAAGCTTGGTCCATATCTGGGCCAGATGTGGCCCATACATTTTCTTAGATCTGGCCCAGCTGCGGCCCATGCAGTTTCTCAGATCTGGCCCAGATGCGGCTCATGCAATTTCACAGATCTGGCCCAGATCTTGTTCAGTTGCGGCTGACTTTTGTATTAGATGTGGCTGACATCTACATTTGGTAGCTATATAAATCACATTAAAAGGAATGCTTAGTTTAAATTGCTTTATTTAAAAATTGCTTTAAAGGAAGCATATAAATTGATAAATACAAATATATAATTTATATAAATTATATAAATAGATGCATACAAAAAAACAACAACAGATTGACCAATGCAATACATATAAATATATGAATTAGATAAATAAATGCATACAGAATTATCGCAAATTAAATGCAAATAAATATATATAAAAGTTAAAATTAGGTAAGTGGATATACAGAATAAGAAGAACATACAAACACAAATGTATATACAAATTAGATAAATAGATACAGAAAAAAAACACAGAAAATATATATATATATTTTTTTTATAAAATGCATATTAATTAAATTAACAAATATTTTATAACCATATAACTAGAACCAATAATTAAAAAGATATATAAAGGGCAATCCAAAAACAAGATCAGAGGCGAGGCAAGGGTCAAATAAACAAATGATAATTACAGAAACAAGATAAACAAGTACGAGTAGACAGAACAAACACAGAAATCGCATATTTAACAAAAACATATTAAAAAAATTACAACGAAAAATAATTTGTCTGATGAAGAGCCGGCGGCTCGAAACGTTTCACGCTCTGTGTCAGCCTTTTTAATTTAATAAATTTGTATTTTTGGAGCCTTGGTGTTGCCGCCTTTGATTTACATTAAATAATTACAATTAAATATTTATTAGCATCTACCCAGAACCAAAAAATTTTTTTTAAATTAAATAAACTGAAAATCCAACAGGGCGGTCCAAGAGTGAGGTCAGGGGCAAGCAAGGGTCAAAGCCAAAAAAAACAGTCCAATGCAAAACATCCTGAAAATCGGAGAATACAACAATTAAAAGGTGCTGTTTGCAGAGTACATACAGGCACAACTCGATTAAAATTAAGGACTTTTAAGCACTTTTTTAAGCACCTATTTTTATTTTTAAGACTGACAAGCAACATATTGAACACCTGAAATGTATTCTCAGCAATACATAAAAACATTCCATAGGAACTACCTATCAATTTATAAAAAATAATATGAATATAATATTTCATAGTATTAAACCTATTTTAAATGTGCTTGTGAAATAATTTTTTTAATGTTTTTGTAGATGGAAAGAGAACTGAAAAATAAATTACATTAAATTAAAGGACTAGAAATACTATTATATTGCTAAAATAAAACAAATTTTAGTAAATAATACAAATACAGAGTAAAAGTACATGGTACTATTTTAGCTAGTTACATTTGAAAAAAAAATCGGATTTTCATTACGGACCTTTTTTTAAGTGTAAACTTGTTTGAATGGTTTAATTGTTTAATTACAAGACTGCATAAAAAGGAATTTGCACTAACAAAGGAAGTTTATTTCCTTTAAGGAAGTTTAGTATATTTTCAAGCTTATGAAGGTTTTATACTTCCTTATAATATTATTAATATTATAAAATAATTGAAATATTTTTTTACATTTTCTACATTTTTCAAAGCAGTGTTTTAAGAGCCTTATTGTTTATTTTGATAAATGTAACAACAGATTGCTTTGACCTGTACAATTTAGTGACGCTTTAAGACAGACTATGTATAAATCATACAAATACCTCATTCAAAAACGTTTCTAGCATACCAACCCCGTGACGTCAGACACAGCAATATTCCAAGATGGGGGTGCCTTTGTGCTAAAAGCTCTAGTAAAACATGCCCTTTTCATCAAAATTGTTACATTAATCAAGTTTGGTTAATATATTTTTTTATTAAATCAGAAAGTAATTTACGAAATAATGTAAACTCAATTGACTGCATCACTTCTACTACAAGACACTGGGAAGAATTTTTGCTAGGCGATGTAGGAAGATCTGACACTCAAAGTTTTCTCCATCAATTCATAGTCTGAAATCTTGGTAATTAGTGAAAGTACCTTTGAACTGACCGCAGATCTTGATGTAGTCTTTCTTGATCTGGTCTTCTCCACTTTCGATCCTTCCCTGGGTTAATCTTTACAAGGAACCTGCTGAATGGAAAAAAAAAATACTTAGTGATAAAAACCTGGACTATATCATGCTCTAAAATATTTGAAATAAAAGCAACATAAAAGGACAAGCTTGTGGTGGAGGTTTGCTAGAAAAATCTGTGGGAGAGGATGTTGTGTGTGAGTCAGACTGAGACAGACTGTTGTATGAATGTGTGTTTTTGAGTGTATGAATGTGAGAATGCATTCACAAGAGTGTGTGTTGTTTGAAAATTTTGCTAGGGTCCAACAGAGTAATTTGTTTAGTTAAGTTGTTTAAAATTATTTTCATTGATTAAATACTTGCCCATATATAGATGTAAAGAATAACCAAAAGAAATAATGCATTAAAATGTCATTATATTTTATATTCAATCTGCAAATCATTTGTTGTGAAATTTGAATGACTTCCATTCAGTATATGAATAAAATAAAATTAGAATAAGAATAAAACAATAGAACTCTATAAAAAATACTTCCTATTAAAATAAAGCAGGTGCTTTTACCTCAAGGAACTTCATTAGTATGGTTCCCTGCTTCCAGTTAGTTCAACTTCAGATACCCCCATAATCTGTACTCTGGTGCTTCATTTGGTTCTTGACTTAAGGCTGATTTATACTTCTGCGTCAAACGCCGGCGTATGCTATGGCTCTGACGCATAGCCCTTCGCCGTGGCCGTCACCGTCACTGACGTGCACCTCTCAAAAAATGTAACTACACGTCACAAAGACGCCTAGCGTAAGCTCTGTGATTGGTCGGCTTGGTAGCGCTGACGAGTCTGGGCGGGACTGATAGCAGCGCGAATGTGAGCGAGCGATTGTTTACAAGTGTGGAGTACCGTGAAGGAGCTCCGGATGGAAAGTTTTGTTTTGTGTTTACCTCATAGTTAAAGTTGTTGCACGTCCGCCGGTTCCTGCCTCAAAATGAGCGAGTTTGAGCCACTTGTACATCCCGGAAGTGTTCAGGAAAAGCAAAAAAGTAGCGAAGAAACTCGACACAGAGGAACATTTAAACCTCACTGCCAACTAGCGTTTCGGAAGTGTTAATGCAGACCAACAGAGACAGCGCGCACAGGTATAAATGCACAGCCACACGTGTTGCATGCGCCGTTGGTTACGCCGGTCCCCTGACGCAGAAGTATAAATCAGGCTTTAAGAGTAACTGGTGTCGCATTCCAGGTCCATCACAATCTGAGCTAAAAGGACAATATGACAAAAGACAAGACAAATATGAATACACATAACTTACAGAATAAAACATTTAAAGATATAGTTTACTATTCTGCCACCATTTATTCATCCTCTACTTGTTTCAAAGCAGTTTGAATCTGTTAAACACTAAAGCAGATATTTTGAAGAATGTTAGAAACCTGTAACTATTGATTAACATAGTAGGAAAAACTGGGTTTGTGTTCATTCATTTTTTTCAGCTTCATCCCTTTATTAATCTGGGGTCACCAAAGTGGAATGAACAGTCAACTTATCCAGCATGTTTTACGCAGCAGATACTCTTCCAGCTGCAACACATCACTGGGAAAAACCCATACACTCTCATTTACACACATTCACTAAGGACAATTTAGCTTACCCAATTCACCTGTACCGCATGTCTTGTGGGGGAAACAGGAGCACCCGGAGGAAACCCACGCCAACACGGGGAGAACATACAAACTTCACACAGAAATGCCAACTGACCCAGCCGAGGCTCGAACCAGAAACATTTTTGCTGGGAGGCAACAGAGCTATCCACTGTGCACCGCACCACCTGAGTTTATGTTCAACAGAACAAAAAAAATATTTTGAAACAAGTGGAGGATAAAAGATGTCATTATTTTTGGGTGAACTATCCCTTTAAAATTTAAGTGTCAAGCATTAGTCTTAAAAACGTATGTATCACTACAGGAAAAATAAATCAAGTACCTCTTGTGAACAAGCAAAATCATTATGCCATTGTTTTCAATGGTTTTCTTTTACATTTTTCACTCTGAAATTATAACTTAAACATGCGATCCAAGGTAAATTAATCTACTTTTAACATAAAATAAAAAGTTAAGATAAAAATAAAAGTTACGTCAACAGACTGTGTTTTTCCAGCTCACCAATACTTTCAAATTTTACATTTTCAGAAAACAATTCAATAAATTACCTTATGGAAACATTTAGACTTTCTTTCAAATTTGATTTTTTTAATAATAGATATTTTAAATAAGCTATGACCTCACACAGTGATAAAATAGCAGCAATAAATCTTGTAATATTTTAATAATAAATAAAACATAAAATATATTATTTCAGTTCCCAACAACCAGTCTGACATATACAAGTTTACAAAATATGTACAATATTGTACCTGGTGTGCTTGATGATGAAGTCAAACAATTAGTAATGCACTGATGTGAGAGTTGTCCTTTCCTTCAGCTTGCATCCTTGCATGATTCCTTTCTTTTCTGTAACAAATTAATACAATACAATCTATTTATAAAAATATTATTTTTACTTGCCACAAAACCATTTGTTTGGACTTGATACATATGTACAAGATTAATGGTGCAATTCAGTTTCCAGGCTGTTTTAAAGTAATATAAAACATAAGATATGGATTTTAAGCTTATTTAACACAATTGATTTTATTTTTTAACAAGGTTTAATATTTCATAACACACTTAGCCTTCTTTTTTAGCTAATTAATTTCCTTCATAAGTCATTTAACACATCACGTTTCAACTGTGGATTTTTTTTTTCAAACGTTTTGGCTTTAAAAATTTTTTAATGCAGACCAGTCTCAACAGTGGCCAACATGAACCACATAATGTTACTCTGCAAACTTTTGCTGAAACTTGATAAAACACACATTAACAAGCAAATCAAGATCATTAGGATTAACGTTACCAAAAACAGACTGTTCGTTCAGTGTTTGAGCTAAAACCAGTACAAAAGCAGAATTCGGCACCAATTACAACTGTATAAAACGGACAGCATATGATTCATTCATTCAAGCTCCCGTTTCGACGCTGTTCTTCATATAACACGTCTTATTGATCATTTAATTGGGAATGACGAGCGTAAAAGGACAATTGTAACTTAAAATGAATTTGTTAAAACCCCGAGCACAATCAACTTAACAGATTAACGTTACTGAACTGACGGCTGCCATCATTCTTAGCCGTTTTTAGCCATATTATCCACATATAAGTTACAGTTTTATCACTATTCAAAACAGGGGCTTTTCTAACTAATAAAAACATTACCTGACGACAAATATCTCACAAATATGATTTTAAAACTAGATAGTAAAGTTTGAGGACAAACTTTATGGTGGCTTGAAAAGCCGAATCTGAAAGTTTGAAGTGGTTTTAAAGTGTAAATAGCATGTTAGTATGATTTTAGCTTGAGGTAACATATTACTAGCATGAATTAGCATGTTAGTAGTATGATTCTTACATGAATTAGCATGTTGTTAGCATGATTCTAGCATGAATTAGCAAGTTACTAGCATGTTTCTAACATGAATTAGCATGTTGTTAGCGTGATTCTAGCATGAATTAGCATGTTACTAGCATGATTCTAGCATGAATTAGCATGCTACTTGGATAATTCTAGCATGAATTAGCATGTTAGTAGCATGATTCTTACATGAATTAGCATGTTAGCATGATTCTAGCATGAATTAGCATGTTACTAGCATGATTCTAGCATGAATTAGCATGTTGTTAGCATAAATCTAGCATAAATTAGCATGTTACTAGTATGATTCTAGCATGAATTAGCATGTTGTTAGCATAATTCTAGCATGAATTAGCATTTTACTAGGCGGTTGCTTGGGTGTTTTAAGTGGTTGCTAAGGTGGTGCCAGGCAGTTGCTAAGGTGGTCTGACTAGTTGCTAGGTGGTTGCTAAGGTGTTGCTAGACGGTTGCTAGGGTGTTTTGAGTGGTTGCTAGGTGGTTGCTAAGGTGGTGCTAGGCAGTTGCTAAGGTGTTCTGACTAGTTGCTTAGTGGTTACTAAGGTGTTGCAAGGTGGTCGCTAGGGTATTCTGAGTGGTTGCTAGGTTGTTGCTAAGGTGTTGCTAGGCGGTTGCTAGGGTGTTCTGAGTGGTTGCTAAGGTGTTGCTAGGTGGTTGCTAGGGTGTCCTGAGTGGTTGCTAGGTGGTTGCTAAGGTGTTGCTAGGTGGTTGCTAGGGTGTCCTGAGTGGTTGCTAGGTGGTTGCTAAGGCGTTGCTAAGCAGTTGCTAGGGTGTTCTGAGTGGTTGCTAGGTGGTTGCTAAGGTGTTGCTAGGTGGTTGCTAAGGTGTCCTAAGTGGTTGCTAGGTGGTTGCTAAGGTGTTGCTAGGTGGTTGCTAAGGTGTTGCTAGGCGGTTGCTAGGGTGTCCTAAGTGGTTCCTAGGTGGTTGCTAAGGTGTTGCTAGGCGGTTGCTAAGGTGTCCCAAGTGGTTGCTAGGTGGTTGCTAAGGTGTTGCTAGGTGGTTGCTAAGGTATTCTGAGTGGTTGCTAAGGCGTTGCTAGGCGGTTGCTAGGGTGTCCTTAGTGGTCGCTAGGCCCTTACTAAGGCATTACTAGGCCGTTGCTAGG